TGGAGGAGAGGGAGGAGATGGAGGAGAGGGAGGAGATGGAGTAGATGGAGGAGATGGAGGACATGGAGAAGATGGAGTAGATGGAGGAGAGTGAGGAGATGGAGTAGATGGAGGAGATGGAGGAGATGGAGGAGAGTGAGGAGCATCTGCCTGAACTGAACACAAAACAAAGAAACAGGACAAAAGTCTATCAGGGACAAATAATCAGAGTTTATCAAGCAATAACAAACACCAGCAGGAGTGCTGCTGTGATTGGTTGGTCCTCGTCACATGACATGTGGTGCACGCTGCGTTCCATAAAGTTACAAAGAGTGCGCCTGCTGTGCGTCTACATTGAAACCTTTGAGTGTGCATCATGCAGCATGTGTGCAGCTGCCTTAAAGTCCCAGTGCTGTTACACTGTACATCAGCACTGACTGAATGACCCCTGTCCAATCAGATCGCTCGGTCTGAACCAGCTGTTGTATTAATGCTCCTTGACTTTGATTTTACAAGTTTCTGAAATCTAACTCATGAAGGGATGTAAAGGTGAGTCTAATCAGGTGTATTCTGAATCTAAATGATTCATACCTCTGAGCTTCATGTAGAGGAGTCTCAGCATCAACAGCAGCAGCAGAGCCACAAGTAAAAGAGTGACAGTCATCCACAGCAGGGAGGAGACACGAGGGGAGTAACTGACAGGAGGACGAGTCTCTTCTTGGTATGCTGGACAGATAACAACATAAAGCGTGTGCTGTAACGATGACACATGGAAATACATGTGTGAAGGAACGCAGGATGAGAATGAAGGATAAAAGATACAGCTCAACTATGTAAAGTCTCCTTTAAGACAAAACATTTTACACAACATAAAAGAAGTGAGCCTCGACTCAGAGAAGGTTCACACCTGTGGAAACATGAATGTCTCACCTGTGACAGCCAGTCGGCTCTAAGGTGACTCTCCAGCTCCAGAGATGTGACACCTGTAGAGTCCTTCATCAGACTTGGACACACTGCTGATGGTCATGTTTCCTGTGGAGCTACTCTCGATGAGGCGGCCATCTTTATAGAAATCAGCTGAGAAGTTGGACGCCATCTTGTTACTGCAGAACAGAGTGACATCATCTCCCTCCGTCACAGGACTAACAGGACTCTGCAGGATCACTGAACCAGCTGATCGACAGGTGACAGGTCAAAAGGTCAAAATGAAAGTAATGTGATTTTTACCTTTTTTACACTAAATGCTAATTAAATATTAAGTATGAAGCACGTTTACGTTCATTGTGTTTAAATAATAAATCAATAATATTCAGACAGCTATGAAGGAGGATTAGGGCCACGTAAAGGAAAAAATCTTAGCTTTCAAACATTAAGTCAAAATATTAGGACGTTGTTCTTGTAGATCTTTGACTTCAAATCTACAGTTTCTTTCCTCAACACGTCCCTCGTCCTCCTGCCCCAGTGATTAGGTTCATATTGGCCAACTGTATTTCATGTCTTGTCCCAACATGTGGCAGTGTTCATGTGTGAAACAATAAGTTAAGGATATCTAAAGTACTCATATTTCACAACATCAGTCATTAAGATTTTAAGTAGGTACCGCTCACTACGATGCTGACAGTGCTGCTTTCCTTTCCTCCAGCTTCACACCAGTATTCTCCGCTGTCTGTTGAGAAGGCCGTCGTGATGGTGCAGGGTCCTTTGGTCTCCCAGTTTGTGTTACAGAAGGTTTTGATGTCCTTGATCATCCTCATCACCCTCCACTGAGTCGAGTCATGAGGAAAGCCCTCGCAGTTTACAAACACTGACTCGTATTCAAAGACCTGCAGTCTGGATGGGACGATGCGAAGAAAAGATGCGTCTGAGAAAGAGAAGAAGAGAGGGATCAGTAACTGTTCTTTATTTACTATTCTAGTAAAATGACAGAACAACAAGGGAGAGATGTTAAAGACACTGAATGAAAAACTATTTCTAATCGTTTAAACTAACTGGATCTGACAAATATTGACGAGGTGAACATCTACAGTCTGATATAACGGCACCATGAGAGACCAGTAATCACCACTTCATGGCAACTTACCAGCACTGTGGGAACAGCTGTCTTTAACCTGTGCAGGCTGCAGCAGCAGCAGCAGCAGCAGCAGCAGCAGCAGCAGCAGCAGCAGGAGGCGTGTCACTGGAAACACAAACGTTATTTCAGAGACAAAAGCTTTTTCATGTCTGTTTGAAACAAGATGCAGCACACAGACTCAGTACTCACTCAGCGTGACGCAGAAAGCTGTGACCTCCATGTTGACTTGCTGCTGACTGCATTACAGTTCACCTACAGCTCAACATGGCTGAGCACTTCCTCTTCCTGTGCAGCTCATTTCTGGTGACTGAGTCTTTGTGTGAGACAGAGCTGAGCTCACCTTCTGTTGGTGTTTGTTTGAAACAGCCAGTGTGTCTCAGATCACCTCCTTCATCCGGTAAGTGCACTAAGGGCCGGATCTACTAAAGGTTTGCGTGTATAAAAACATGTGCAAATTCATTGCAGTGATGTGCTAACAGTGTGCAATAAGGGTTGCGTCTTTCAAAGGTGCAGAAAAGTGCGTCTGCATCCAGTTAGTACGTTTGCTGCAATGAATATGCAATATGGGGCGTTTACAAACAACTGTGCGTGTGCTGGGAGGAGAACATGTAAATATATTAAATTAGCACACGCAGCGTGATTTATCAAACCTGGAAGCAGTTTTGCAAACAGAAACTGCGTCTATATTTAACACGTGTCAAAGGCAGCTGCAAACGGTTTGTATGTGTAATTGCACACACATGGCTGCGGTTATTGTTGCAAGAAGGAGACATGGAAACAATGAAAGAAGACGCAGAGAACACATTTTACACCCTCGTGTGCTGGAGCAGAATGCCATGCCGGAGGAGGACACCAACCTTGCCCGCCGTGCGCACCTCTCCTCCCTCTGAGGTCCCTGGCTGATGGTCAGAGGCATCTCATCGACTGTGCCTCCACCTGGTTTATCTGCAGACGTTTTATTATACGCCAGTTTTTCTTGTGTTCTTCTTCTGATGCCTTGATATCTTCTTTTCACTTCATCCACCGTTCGCATCGTTTTACTTTTTCACAGATTTCTTCCCATGTAGTGTTCCTCTGTGAGACACTCAGCTTTCTTTGCTGTTGATTGGCCTCGTCTACCAACACCTCTAACTCCATAGGGTCGAATTTCACTTTGTGCTTTCTCTCCAAACTCGCCATGCTGCAAACCATAAAACACGCAAAACCCTCATTTAAATATGGTGTCTCCAACACGTCTGCACCTCTTGACATTTAAGCAGTCACTCTTAGTAAATCACCAACAAACCGCAGTTCAGCCTCACACGCAAAATTCTAGATTGAGCAGGCAAATCAGTACACTTAGTAGATCCGGCCCTCAGTGTGTTCACACTGCACAGTACAGGAACATGCAGTGTACTACTGACACACTCAAAACGGTCCAAAAGTTGAGTATGGAATGACGGACACTTCTCAGCCTCAACAGTCGCCATCTTTGTGACGTAGCAAACAACAAGGAGCCTGTTAGCTCGACATGTTTTTGCACCAAGTACCAAAACTGTTGTTGAATAGAAGTAGTCAGTGATGTTTGTGGGTCTGTGATGATTCAGTGCCACCAGCCATAATGTGAGTGGTCCTCGTTATAGCTGCACATTTCAATCAGCACTGACACTGTGGTGCAAGTTTGGTTTATGTGTGGGCGGAGGTAGAGGTCAAATATTGGTGATAATGATCCACCGTCTGTTTGTGATCCATCGTTTGAAAAGAAGAAGAAGAAGAAGAAGAAGAAGAAGAAGAAGAGGTGAAGGTGAGTGCATGATCTGAGACAACACCACCCTGCTGAAATGAGTGCACCACACAAGCAGTACACAGTGTTCATAGTGCTTCCATGTGAAAGCTGACATCTTGTCTCTGTTAGCATGTTGCTGTGTGGATGATTTCAGCATTTAACTCAAAAACCAAAACACAATCTGACCTGGAGCCTTCCATGCAGCTGAAGACGCAGCATGTGTGCCGCCTCTACGTTTCTGCAGCTCAGCAGTGAGCTCAGGTTTTCACACAGTCACATCACAGATGATAGTAACAGAGCCCATGATGTGATGTGACCCCTGTCCTAACTGTGCACTGTGATGACATGAATGGCTTAATACATCCATGGGAGGCTTCAGGTGAGTGTGTCAGCATCTGTTAGACCCTGCAGCTGTGAACTCAGCGTGTCTGCTTCGAGTCAAACGGACGTACTGTAAAATAATCTTTGCAGTAAACCACAGCGAGCAGCGTCTTCAGACGTGAGAACAGGCAGAGCAGAGAACCATGTGGTTTAACCAAGAACTGTAACTATCTGCTGCCTCTTAAAAATACACCCTGAGGATGTGAGTCAGCTGAAGCCCATGTCCACGTTTCCAAGGTACCCTGGGTGTGTTGGTTGTTGGCATGCTGGGACGCCGCCGTGTCAACTTCAGCCTGTTACATGCATTGTCTGTTTTCAGAATACACTTGTGTTTTCTGGTTGGTTGAGGACAAAAGAACAGGGCTTGGCTTTACAGTCTTTCAGGAAGTGAACACCGGCCTCCTGGGTGAAGGTCGGTGGTTGTTGGATCAGGAATTGCACAAAGTGTCGTCCAGTTTATGAACATTTATTTTGGTGTATTTTGTACAATGCTTCATGAAAACAGAGGTAATTTGGAACATGATGAAACATTCAAGTGAGATATTGTAGAAACAATCAGTGAAGAGCTTCTGCTGCGACTGTGGCTCCTCTGCTCCATGTTTCAGGTGTATCAGCTGTCTGACCTGGACGACACACAGGCTGGAAATTGATGTCAGTACAGTGTAAAAAACAACAATGAAATCCCTTGAAATGAAATGTATAACTCTGTCTGATGTCACTGGTGTTTGTGGTGTTTAACTTGACTCGGTTCAACCAGACGTCCTGCAGATAAAGAATCAACCGCAGTATCTTCATCGTCCCCGGTCCTGTTTGGGACGATCTCCCGTCCGCTGCATGGAGGACAGTCGGACATGCTTCTCATAGAGGCCTCATGTCCATCAAAGTGTTTCCCAGCTGAAACCACCAGGGTTTCATAACAGAGAGAAATGTAGTGACCCTTTCAATGGCTCATTAGGAGAAGTGACATGCTGATAGGACAGGACACGGTGTGTGTGTGTGTGTGTGTGTGTGTCTCACCTGCAGGAACAAGAAGGGACTGACATGAAGACGTCAGGGTACCTGCCAGAAATGACAGAACACAAACGTGATGTGACTCAACAAGGTCGTGGTGTGAAAGGAAACAGCTGTCTGAACCCTGCTGACAACATGTTGTTGCTCTGACCTGCGTACCTGCCGTTTCCTCAGCTGAAGCAGTCCCAACACCAGCCCCAGTAACACCAGTGAAGCCACACCTACAGTCTGCAGAACCGTGCTTAGAGAGCAGCAGCCGTCATTTAAGGGTGCGTCTTTGTGGAACGCTGCAGGGACGATATAACACATGCTGTAACAACTCTATACACGTCATACTGCTGATGCAATTTGCACGTCTTTCTCTAACAAATTCACTGCAGGACCATTTCACTCACACTGACATGTTAACAGGGGTTTATATAGACCTGTTGTCTCTGTCGTCATGGAAACAGACTGAGTGTTAATGTCTCACCTGTGACCGTCAGCCAGCTCTCTGCTGACTCTTCAGTTTGAGACAAGTTGCACTTGTAGAGTCCTTCGTTAGATTTAAAAACACTGTGGAGCGTCAGGTTTCCTGTAGTGTTTCTCCTGATGAGGCGGCCATCTTTATAGAAATCAGCTGTGAGGTTGGAGGTCGTCTCCTTTCGACAGCACAGAGTCACAGCGTCTCCACCATCACAGGGAGGGCAGGGCTCTCCAGGATCACAGGACCAGCTGAGTTGGAAACAAACATCATCACAATGTCGTGCACTGTCAGAATGTCACTATAAGACCCGAAACACACCAGTGATGGTGATGTTGAAGGCGTTGCTTCTCTTCTCTCCAGCCTCACACCAGTACGCTCCACTGTCTGAAGAATAGGCAGGTGTGATGGTGCAGGGTCCGGTCGACATCTCGAAGTGAGAAGCACATATTGTGACGCCTGCCTTGATCTTCCTCACCACTCTCCATCCATGCAGTCCATGCAGCCCCTCACAGGTGAGAGCAACGGACTCGAACTCGTAGTGCTGCTGTGTGTTTGGATCAACACGAGGAAACACTGCGTCCATGGCAGAGACACAAAGGACGAGACGCACTCAATGAAAAAGATCTTTGAACATGAAAAACACGTTCAAGTCCAATCAAAGGATTTTAGAACAACGTTAGAACACTGCATGTTGAGACACTGCTGCCACAGAACAGGAAGACATGCTACAGCTGCTGCTTCCCAGCCCGTCTGCCAACACACACACACCGGACTAACGAGCGGCCGGTGGCGTCAAAAGTAGCCATGACTTCCCCAGGATAGTAATGAGCTGTGTTGATCACAGAGCATTTACAGACGGTCAGTACTCACACAGTGTGATGCAGAGTGCTGTGACCTCCATCTTGTCTTCCTGCTGACTGATGGTGTGATTTACAGCTGGGACGTGATGTAGATGAGGACTCTCTGTCTCTGCAGCTTGTTTCTGGAGACAGAGGCAACAGCTGCTTTGTGGTCTCTGCGAGAGAGTCTGAGGAGTGACAGTCAAACAGTTTGAAGCTCTCTGATTCGTTAAGAGATCAGGAAGTGGTGGTGGGGGGTATTTCTTTGCCTTCACTCTTCTTCACCTTTTTATATTTTATTTCCATACTGCTCAGCCTCAGACAGAGGTGAAGGTTTGATTTGAGCTTTGGTAGGGACCACACTCGCGCCCACAGCACTACTTTGTGTGCATACTGTTAGCTGAGCTACAGATCACATGATCTTGATGACTGTGTCTTTAATCAGCTTCCTGAACTGATGCATTTGGCCTACAGATGATTTCATCACGCTCTAATCTCACCTGTAACCCTGATGCATCTCCAGACTCCTGCCTCTCCTGGTCTTTTCACTCACCACCTATCATAAAAGGGAAATGTGTAGCCTATGTGATGTGAACATAATGACGTTGGACTAGTTATTCTGCAGTCACAGACATCAGTTGAATTGCATCAACAAACCAGACGTCAGTGGGCGAGTGAACCTCGTCATTGCTTAAACCTTACCGGAGTGTGCAGCAGTTATTTCTAACGCTACAAACCAAACCTGATTTATTACTAGCTCAAGGCCCAAGGACCAATCCTATTTACTCTATATATGCTTCCTTTAGGTAACATCATTAGAAATCACCCTATAAACTTCCATTGTTATGCGGATGATACACAGTTGTATTTATCGATGAAGCCAGAAGAAAGTAATCAATTAACTAAACTCCATAACTGCCTTAAAGACATAAAAACTTGGATGAGCACCAATTTCCTGATGTTAAATTCAGACAAAACTGAAGTTATTGTTCTTGGCCCCAAACAACTCAGAGACTCTTTATCTGATGACATAGTTTCTCTAGATGGCATTGCTCTGGCCTCTAGCACTACCGTAAGAAACCTCGGAGTAATATTTGATCAAGATTTGTCTTTTAATTCTCATTTAAAACAAACCTCACGGACTGCATTTTTTCATCTGCGTAATATTGCGAAAATTAGGCCTATCCTGACCCGAAAAGATGCAGAAAAATTGGTCCACGCTTTTGTTACCTCAAGGCTGGATTACTGTAACTCTCTATTATCAGGTAGCTCTAGTAAGTCCTTAAAAACTCTCCAGCTAATTCAGAATGCAGCAGCACGTGTACTAACAGGAACTAAGAAACGAGATCATATTTCTCCTGTTTTAGCTTCTCTGCACTGGCTCCCTGTAAAATCCAGAATTGAATTTAAAATCCTACTGTTAACTTATAAAGCTCTAAATGGTCAAGCTCCGTCATATCTTAGAGAGCTCATAGTGCCATATTATCCCACCAGAACACTGCGCTCTGAGAACGCAGGGTTACTCGTGGTCCCTAAAGTCTCCAAAAGTAGATCAGGAGCCAGAGCCTTCAGCTATCAGGCTCCTCTCCTGTGGAATCATCTTCCTGTTACGGTCCGGGAGGCAGACACCGTCTCCACATTTAAGACTAGACTTAAGACTTTCCTCTTTGATAAAGCTTATAGTTAGGGCTGGCTCAGGCTTGCCCTGTACCAGCCCCTAGTTAGGCTGACTTAGGCCTAGTCTGCCGGAGGACCCCCTATAATACACCGGGCTCCCTCTCTCTCCCTCTCTCTCTCTCTCTCTCTCTCTCTCTCTCTCTCTCTCACTCTCATCCTATTACTGCATCTTGCTAACTCGGCCATTCTGGATGTCACTAACTCGGCTTCTTCTCCGGAGCCTTTGTGCTCCACTGTCTCTCAGATTAACTCATATCGCAGCGGTGCCTGGACAGCGTGACGTGTGTGGTTGTGCTGCTGCCGTGGTCCTGCCAGATGCCTCCTGCTGCTGCTGCCATCATTAGTCATTAGTCATACTTCTACTGTTATTATACACATATGACTATTGTCACACATGTATACTGCCAGATATTAATACATACTTTCAACATATTGTACCACAGTAGCCAGAACTATAACTATAATATTATTACTTTCAATAATGTTGTTGTAAGCTACTGTCATTACCTGCATCTCTCTCTCTCTCTCTCTCTCTCTCTCTCTCTCTCTCTCTCTCTCTGTCTCATTGTGTCATATGGATTACTGTTAATTTATTATGCTGATCTGTTCTGTACGACATCTATTGCACGTCTGTCCGTCCTGGAAGAGGGATCCCTCCTCAGTTGCTCTTCCTGAGGTTTCTACCGTTTTTTTTCCCCGTTAAAGGGGTTTTTTTGGGGGGTTTTTCCTTATCCGCTGCGAGGGTCATAAGGACAGAGGGATGTCGTATGCTGTAAAGCCCTGTGAGGCAAATTGTGATTTGTGATATTGGGCTTTATAAATAAAATTGATTGATTGATTGATTGAAGGCAAGTGTTATGACAACATGACAGCACCTTATCTCTGCCTCAGCAAACGTTACGAGACCTATTAGCTAACAGCTAGCTACAGTAGCTAGTGCTAGCTCTCTGACTAGCTGCACCACCGGCTAGCAACGTGAAAGTTTACGTAGGCATTTAGGATGCAAACTAAACTATTAGCATTGATACAACTCTGCACAGAAAAATAACAGTCGTTCAACATTTTATTCCCTGTTTCCAATAACTTCAATGTTACTCGCTGCGTAATCAAAATCCTCGCTGTTGCCGATCGATTGTATTTTGACTCTGAGCTGCGGACAGCCTGTCAGTGACAGACACGCTGGTTGAGTATTGACGCCAAGCGAGGGAGGAAAAGTAGGCTGTTGATTGGACAGCTTGCTGAACGCAGCCGTCAACCAGGCCAGATAAGGTTTCGCAAGTTGTGAATGGTAATTCTAAAACGAAGTAGGCTACAGTTTTCACTCAGCATTATTTTGGTAGGGACAATTCGTGTTTCCGTGGCTTTGGTGTGGACTCATCCTTAGCGTCCATGCCTAAAACTACACCTATGACCTCAGAGATAGGGGGAGGAGTCAGACATCTGGAGGGAGCTTGGAGTAGAGCAGCTGCTCCTTCATGTTGAGGTGGTTCAACATCTGATCAGGATCCTCCTGGTCCAGCTGGTAGGAGGCCCCGGGGCAGACCCAGAACACACTGGAGGGATTATAGATCTTATCTGGTCTGGGGCCATTTAGTGGCCGTTTTGGTAAGCAACCAGAACCAGGGCGAGAGAGACAGGATCCGGAATTCGATGGATGCGCCTTTCCGTCAAAATAAAAGCACCAAGCTAATAAAAATGCGGTGAAACTTTTTAATTTAAAGAATATAATTTACAAGACAAGCCATGTAGCATGCTCTATCAACCAAGTTTCTTGAAGAACCTCTTCTAAAGCAGACTGTTGTACGTCCATGTTTAAATGATTAAAATGCATCTATCGTGGCGACAGTCTTCACTCTTCTTTCTTTTCCCATTCAACTTTCCAACGTGGAGAAACAGGAGACGGAAATCGATGATGCGCCAGAATTTAAAGTTTTACTTTGGTGAATTTGGTGAATTCTGGATCCGCTCTCTAGACCGGAACCAGAATCCAGACAAAATTCAGAGTGAATGGAAACCAGGCTCTTCGCCGTACGTGAAGAGCCTGGTGACGCGAGGGTAGATGTCATGTGGTCTGGGAACGCCTCAGGGTCCTCCAGGAGGAGAAAGAGGGAGGCCTGTAGTACTTTGCTCATCCTGCTGCCTCTGAGACCTGCCCTCGGATGACAGGATGAAAATGGATTGATTTTCATAATGTACATATTTAAATGTAAACAATGACTCAACATTTTCTCTCGTCACCTGAAAGGCCTTCACAGCCTGTTGCTCAGATACCTGAGCCAGACATAAGGCAGGTGTATCCATGAGACAAAAGACGACGTTTACAGAAGGAAACCATCGATTTAAACCAACAGCTTTTTCATCCACAACAGTTTATCTATCACAATGTAAATGATTCACTTCATATGAACCTCACACACACACACACACACACACACACACACACACACACACACACACTCTCCTCTGCTGAGCACCCAGCAGTCATTACAGCCTGAATATCCAGATTTTCAGGTGCAGATGTGTCACACAGTGTTTCAGTGCTCAGTTTTCTCTGTGTAATATGAAGGACAACAACATCCTCCACCGTCAATATCCAGATCTTTGTCTCGCAGAACACAGGAAGATAAAGTCAAAGATAGATTTCTGACAGATCTGGAGGAGGTACAGAGACACAGAGGAGAGAAAGGCTGAAGACAAAGTGTGGTGGACGTGTTCGGACTCATTGGCTAAAGCTTCTGTCAGAAGTCAAACACAGAGATGTGGTGAAAGCTGCAGCAGCTCCATAAGCAGCGTCTGAGACGTGTGAACACACAGAACAATGTGGTTTAACTGTGTCACTGCCTTTTAATAAAATAAACTCTGAGCTGAGTGAGTCGAAGCTCTCTGACGACGTCACCTCGTCTCTTTAAAATGCTGCTTTATTAAAAACCAACAATGAGACGTTTTCAGATTGTATCTTCTCTTCAGTGATGAAGCTTCATGATGTTCAGACAACAGAAGAATTTCATTCTGTCTTTTGAAACTACACACCTGTTTGACTCTCTTATTAACGACAACGTTCTGTGTTAGTTTCTACTCATTGAATCATTGGAGTCAGTGACGTTGAGTTATTACACTGCAGGCGTCATGTACACACACACACACACACACACTGTCTGATAACAGTGGTGTTAAGGTTGAACAGATAAGCAGGTCTGATACAGCAGGTTGACCTCAAGTTCACATTCATGTATGAAAAGCTTGTCAAAGTGAAACCAGACAGAAACGTCCAGATGTCGCACAGGTGACACAGAGGGAGGAGTTTCACAGTCAGGTGGGACATCACACAGGTGAGGCCAGGTGCAGGTGGGCGGAGCAAAAGGCTGGAGAGCGAAGGCGTTAGCAGAGCAAACACTGTGGCAGTGAACATGTGGACATGGTAAATATACTGCAGGGCTGAGTAGAGGAAACGAGGACATGTGGCTGTGACTGAGGCTCACTGCTCTCTGAGGTGGATTCACAGGTACGTGGGATCGAACACACGTTATGAATGATTGTAGTTTTTACATGGAGCTTTTTTTAAGAAGGATTTTGGGTCATTTTACAACAAAAGCTGCTCTGTTGAACTTCTCTCCGTCACATCTGCTGTGCTCACTCTTATCTTAACTGTGAGAGAAACGTAATGGTGCATGTCGTTAAATGACACAGGTGAAACTATCAACCTTATCTGGACCGCCATCTTTACTGGGCAGGTGGCGCTGCGGGTGTTCCTGCAGCTGCTCCTCAGGATCGAACCACTAATACAATCAGAACATGTCATGCAGATGATTGTGTCACTGACAGCATGACACCTGCCTGTGTTCACGTTAACTCAGACTAAGTATTAAGACATGAGCAGTTATTTACTGCTGCTTCACATGAGGCTGCTTCTGTTTGTGTTCTGTTGTTTCAGATGGTTTCAGCCTGTAAAGATCTTCTTCTTGTGTCGTCGTTGGCTGCTTTCATTTTTCTGGGGCTGTGTCTGGTGCGTACACATGGAGACGTGATCATCAGTGAGTCTCAGATTCATTTAATCCTATTCTCTCTTCTGTTTTAATCTTTGATGTTGGAAGGAATTAATTCAAATTGTTTTCACCAAATGGTCTTTATTGGTAAAACTCATCATGCCGCCATCTTGTTTCAGTGGAGCAGAACAAAGGTTAAATACAATAAAAATCACAGTGACCTTTCTATCTCCAGGGAAACATGCAGGTCTGCTGTAGAAACAGTTTTCAGGTCGGGACAGAAATGATCCTGTTGTTTGGTGTTTTCTCGTATCAGATCATTTCATCATGTTCCCGTCAAGATCTTCTGCTGCGACCATCAGCGCCATCACCATCATCATCACCATCACCATCACCATCACCATCACCATGGCAGTGACTGTCTTTGCTGCGTGGATTTGGAAATGTCGGGAGATCAGTGAGTTGACTCATCTGTCCCTGTAGGCTGTTGATGTGAGGGGACGCTCTGCTCAGTCGGTGTCCTGTCTGTCTCCAGGACTGCACAGAGACACATGAGACGAGTCTGTATAATATTTGATATGATGCAGCAGAGTGTCCTGCACTGTGTCTCCTGACTGCAACTTAAACATACAACATGTAAAACCTGAATAAAAACTACCGAGACTACTGACACAGCAGGATTGGATCAAATATAACCCTATTATTCATTCATTCATTCATTCATTCATTCATTATTATTGTTGTTATTATTATTATTGGGTGAGTTCAGTTTGAACATCGTCTACATGTTTCTCATTAGAGTTAGCGTGGCACATCCCACACACATGCAACAGGTTCAGTCACTGTAAGGTAAATACTAGTGTTGTAGTCAAGACCGAGACCGAGACCAAGACATTTAGAGACCGAGACATTTAGAGGCTGAGACATTTAGAGACCGAGACCGAGACAAGACCAAGACATTTAGAGACCAAGACATTTAGAGACCGAGACATTTAGAGGTTGAGACCAAGACATTACCAAGACATTTAGAGGTCGAGACCGAGACATTTAGAGGTCGAGACAAGACCAAGACATTTAGAGACCGAGACAAGATCAAGACATTTAGAGGTCAAGACAAGACCAAGACATTTAGAGACCAAGACAAGACCAAGACATTTAGAGGTCGAGACAAGACCAAGACATTTAGAGACCGAGACATTTAGAGGTTGAGACCAAGACATTACCAAGACATTTAGAGGTCGAGACAAGACCAAGACATTTAGAGACCGAGACAAGACCAAGACATTTAGAGACTAAGACAAGACCAAGACATTTATAGGTCGAGACAAGACCAAGACATTTAGAGACCGAGACAAGACCAAGACATTTAGAGACCAAGACAAGACCAAGACATTTAGAGGTCGAGACCGAGACATTTAGAGGTCGAGACAAGACCAAGACATTTAGAGGTCGAGACCGAGACATTACCAAGACCGAGACATTTAGAGGTCGAGACAAGACCAAGACATTTACAGGTCGAGACAAGACCAAGACATTTAGAGGTTGAGACCGAGACATTACAGAGACCAAGTGGTGGACTAAGAGTCTCATCCTACTCTCTAATGTGCTATGTGTGAGCTCAGTCCTGCGTGTTCTTTAATGAAGCAATAGGAGAAGATATTCGGTCTCAGTTAATGTAGTTTATTAAGCAGTAAAGGAATAAAATTACAGAGCTCTGGGTCTCAACTTCACGTCCCTGACGAACAACAAAGGTGTGTCAGTTCACGAAGTCTGACCTCCTGTCCTTTCCCTGACCCAGTATATTTGAGCGTAACAGAGTGTCATTGTGCA